ACCGTTGCGTTTGTCAAGTTGGATCGGTCCCATGGGCAAGCTGCTTTATGACCGTCGTGGCTTAATCCTTAACCAGGATCCATGATGGTCGTAAGCTGAGAACTGGCTGTATCTAAGTGGGAAAAGCGAAGCACAAAGGGGCAGATGGATGAATACTACAAACTCCTTTGGCTTCTAATGTCTGGGCAGGAAGTACTTTCCTTCTACTGCAAAAACCTACCCACCCCACTCCAGAGCTGGGTTTCTCAACCTCAGCCCCTTTAAGACACGTGCACTTCAACTCCCAAAATGCCTTGCTGGCTGGGGAATTCTGGGAGTTGAAGTCTATATATAGTCTTAAAGTGCCCAAGGTTGAGCAGCACAGCTCTGGAGCCATTGTGTCCATCCGCAATCTGATTCCCTCAACAGCATCCCATCAGTTCCATCATCTTTTGAACATCCAACCACCTCTTTCGTTGGCTTGATGGGAACCAACTTTGGTGGAGGTTGGTGCAGATGGTAGCTGCCATGACATAACTGAAGCTCTGTATATAACAGAGGTAGCGGGTGTCACCATCTTGACAATTCTCTCTTCTCTTCTCTGTAGATATTCCCACCACTGTCCTCAGTTTCTTCTCGGTTTCTTCACCTACAAGAGCTGCTACCATCCTACTTTTATCAAAAATGCACCACCTCAGCCCGCTGTCAGGATTCTGGCAGTCCCCCCCCCCCCCATTAAATCCTGAGTCTTGAGCCAAACTTCCAAAATTTAAAAAGTATTTATTGGGAGTTAAACTTGGTGTAGCCAACTCTGAGGCACATCATTCATTGTCACCCTTGACCCTGGTTTCCCTCCACCCGTCTGGGTGTATCATAATTCATATTCATCCACAGCCAAGAGTCATCAATCATGTTCTCTAGTTAGATATTTGCATGGCAGAAACTTCGGTCACCTCGTTACTATCTTTGAAAACATTTATGGAATGCGCTTTCGGTTTGCAACCTGCTGCACTGCTCTTTCCCCCCCTCCTTTCTGTTGGCAACTCTAAAAAGACCATAGAAATATTTTATGAGTTGACACCTAGCAGGTGAGCAAATCTTCAAGGTTATTGTTCTCCCACAACTGCAGCAGAGTAGGGAGAGAGAGAGAAGGGAGGGTGTGCAGAAATCTATCTCGGCCAACCAAAAGAAGAATCATCAACGTACCTCCACCAGGATTTCCTTTAGGTGGTCCTCCCCCAGGGTGCCTGTCATTTTGGTCATCCAAAGCATCACTTAAGTCGAGATCCATGGGGTCTTTCCCTATAAAAGTAGCACATCAGCTACTGAGCGCGTTGTAGTTTCTAGCATCACCACTCTTTCCCACTGAGACAGACTGAACCTCTTAGGACGGGTGTCAGCAACCCGTGGCTCTGGAGCCGTATGCGGCTCTTTGGGCCCTCTGCTGTGGCTCCCTATTGGGTGATCCCACCACTGGCTGGCCCCGCCCCTCGCCCTCCCCTCGCAATCACTCCTCGCCTGGCTTGAGAAGGTAAAACACAAAAAACAGAGAGGAGAGGGAGGGAGACCCATTTCCCACAGAAAACACCAGGAGCCAAAAAACTTGGGTGGGCTTGGCGGGGTGGACGGGTGAGTCATGTGACTGGTTGGGAGTGCCATTGAGTTGGCCACGCCCACCCACATTTTGAGGCTCCCAGTGTTTTCTTGTCTGTGGGAAACGAGTCCAAATGGCTCCCTTTAGTGTTTTAAGGTTGCAGACCTCTGTCTTAGGAGAAGTAAGAAATGTCTTGGAGAAGTCTACCTAGGCTTCCCATAATTCCTACAATATTTCCCAGGCTTAGTTTTGCCCCTTCGTTCATCTCGAGTTCGATGTGATGCATGTAATGGTCACCACCTCGACGCAAGACCAGCCATTCCCAACCTGCTAGTCTCCAGATGTCTTGAATTCCAAGCCACCACCAAGATCTCACCCATTGGAGAACACCACGGCTTGCAGCCAACACCTCTACATGTTGAGGGTCAGAGCTGGTAAAGGCTTTTATAGAAACCAGATTGAATGTCAGGAAAACACATAATCAAAGAAGGAAGTTTCAATCCTCAAATTCAGCCTGGGAACCCCAAATCCTCTAAGGATAGCTATCTAATAGATTGTCTTCTTCTATCTACCTATTTATTGATCTATCGATCTATCCATCCACCCATCCAACATCCAACCAGCCATCCAACTATTATCCATTCATCCATCTAACCATCATCCATCCATCTAATCATCTATCCAACCATCTATCCAACCCAACTAACCATCATCCATCCTTCATCCATCCATCATCCAACCATCAACCATCCATCCATCCATCCATCCATTCAACCATCTATCCAACCATCAATCCATCCTTCATCCATCCAATCATCTATCCAACCATTCATCTAACCAACCATCAACCATCCATCTATCCATCCAACCAACCAGCCATCAACCATCCATCCTTCCATCCATCCATCCAACCATCCATCCAACCATCTATCCAACCAACCAACCATCAACCAATCCATCCATCCTTCATCCATCCATCTATATCCCTCCCTCCCACAGACCCCAGGATTATCTTCAGAGATCTTCTACATTGTCCTGCCAAATGGGAGAAAGCAGAGACAATAGCTATAGTAAAGGAGAAAACCTTTTTAAGTGAGGACTCTTCTGGAAAAACCCACCCAGGCCCTGCTCTGTTCTCTTTCAATACCAGGTCAAGCTGCATTTCTTCATCTCCACCATCAGTTCTCTGGATTTCCAAGGCAGGGGGCATTGTTTTCCTGATTTCTAATGGTGCCTTTGAGGTTTCATAGTGGTTAAAAATTACCTGGAGCCTTTTTGGGGGGCGGCTTGGTAGTTTTAGGCTGCTTGGTGGTGGTGGTGTGAGGGATGTTCCAGCGGCCATCATCTGCAGATTGGAGAACACAGACCCTTCAGCTCAGGATGCCCAGCAATTAACTTAGCCCAGCCCTCCCCTAAAAAGCAGAAACAACCCCCTGCCAACCAAAGTGCGTAGAGTCGAGGCTGTGGTTTTCCCAATTGCAATGCATGGCTGTGAAAGTTGGACCATAAGGAAGGCTGAGCACCAAAGAATGGAGGCCTTTGAACTCTGGTGCTGGAGGAGAAGACTCCTGTGAGTCCATTGGACTGCAAGGCCATCCAACCAGTTGGTCCTAGAGGAGATCCACCCTGACTGCTCTTTAGAAGGCCAGATCCTGAAGATGGAACTCAAAGACTTTGGCCACCTCATGAGAAGGAAGGACTCCCTGGAGAGGAAGAGCCGAATGCTAGGAACGATGGAGGGCAATAGAAGAAGAAGGGGAGGGCAGAGGAGGAGGGGGCTGGATGGAGTCACTGAAGCAGTCGGCGTGAGCTTAAATGGACTCCAGAAGATGGCAGAGGACAGGAAGGCCTGGAGGAACATTGTCCATGGGGTCGCGATGGGTTGGACATGACTTCGCAACCAACAACAACAAGCCCTCCCCAGTCAGTTGCCTTTCCAAATATATCTAGCTGCAGTTTTGGAAAATTGGGACCAAATACATGCTGGATGAGCTGTGTGGTTCAACCTTCTCAACCTGTGGGGCTCGTGTGAGGGAAAACAACAGGCTCTTTATCCCAGGATATTGTTTAATTTCCCTTCCTAACTTCCTTCCTATCACCTGGTGTTATCCCAACCACATTCAAACCAGATCCAATCCTCCTTGGGTGTTAGGGATTCTGGCTTATTGAGCTTGTTTGGAAGCTGGTTTGTGGGCTGTGGTCACCCTTGTTGTGTTGCAATGAGCAGCTGTATCCTCCAAGAAATAGCTTAGTTGTATTCAGACAGGGAGGGAGGGAGGGAGGGAGGGAGGGAGGGAGAAGGAAGGAAGGAAGGAAGGAAGGAAGGAAGGAAGGAAGGAAGGAA